TTTTTAAATCATAGATCTTGGAGTCATCTTTACCTTTTTTCTTCTCTCAACTCTTAATATTCAACTAGAGGCCCAGTGCATGAAATCATGCGTGGGTAGGGTCCCTAGGCCTTGCCTGCAATCAGGGCCATCTTCCACCCGTTCACCAGTCCCCAGTCCCGCCCCGCCGCCAACACCCACCCCCATTCCCCGTTCACCGTCTGGCGATCTATTGGAGCCTGTGGGCCCAGAGGAGGGACCAAGAGATTGGCCATTCCTTTCGCTTGCCAGTTTCCAGTCCTGCCCTACTGCCACCCACCCTGGTTCCCCATGGTTCCCCATTGGCCATCCAGCAATCGGAGCCTGTGGGCTTGGGGAAGGGACTAAGAGATGGTCAATGCACCTCATAGCGACTGGTCAATTGGTTGTTCTGATTGTTACACCGTTATGGTCACTGGCCTTTTATTATTTAGGATAGATCAGCACATTCTATTAGGTCTCTCTTCAAATTTTATTTCCAATCTAACCACTCCTCACCATCCCCACCTTCCCCTAAGACCCATCATCTCTGAATGGACTATTTCAGTGGTCTCATCACTGGTATCCCTGCTTCCATCCCTGCTTCCACCTTGTCTTTCTCCTGAACCCAAGGTAATCCTTTTTTCCTCTTTTTTTATTGATTTTTTTAGATGACATTGGTTAATAAAATGATATAGATTTATGACATTGGTTAATAAAATTATATAGTTCTATAAAACATCATCTGTATTGTATGTTCACTACCCCAAGTTAAGGCTCCTTCCATCACCCTTTATTCCCACTTTACCTTCATCTACGTCCCCCCATCACCTTTTTCTCTGATATTCACCATCTTCTTGTCTGTGTCTATGAGGGTTTTCTTATTTGCTTGTTCTTTGCTTAATCCCTTCATCTTTTCCATCCAACCCTGAATTCCCTCTCACCTCTGACAGCTGTCAGTCTGTTTTCTATCCATGATTCTGTTTCTGTTTTGTTAGTTTATTTTATTCATTAGATTCATAATAATCTCCAGGTCCATCTGTGCTGTTGTAAAGGATAAGATTTCTTTATTTTTTTTACAGCTGAGTAGTATTTCATTACTTCTTCACAATAAAATGTGCCATCCTTAAAAAAAACTATACACAATTTGCTACCCCCACTACTACTAATGTGCACTTGCGCACACACGTACCCCTCTTACCTGCTCTCTGACCCCTTCCTCTGATTTGCTTTCCTGTTTTCCCTGCTTCCAGGCACTCTTTGTCTTCACAGCATGAGTGTTCATGCTTCTCCCTGCCTGAAATGCCTTGCCCCATATGTTTATCTGGCTTGTTCTCTCCACTCGGGTCTCTAGGTAAAGCTCACCTTGTTCCTTCCACCACTCTCCCTGACTACATCTAAAAGGGCACCCCATGAGAGGTTTATTCTCTTCCTAATGTCACCATCACCTAACACAGGCTTATTTGTTTCTTATCTTACTCGTTGGGAGAGTGTTTTCATGAGAGCAGGGCTGGTTTCTGTGGGCTGTGCCCTTTTCCATAGGGTCCTCACAGTGCCTGGTGCAGAGATCAGTGGTTCTGCTGAACTCTGCTCAGTTATCCATTCCTGTTCTCTTTAGGATAGAAGTTTAATTCTGCTAGGCATCAAAATCACTGGGGCACTTTACTAAAATGCACTTGCCCTGATGTCACCCCCAGAGAAGTGAGCACAGTGGATTTTGGGGGAGAACCCAGAACATTTTTTATCAAGCCCCCCCCCCCCCCCAGTTGATTTTGATGTCTGAGGTAACTGAACCACACTTGGCAAATGCTGTCTCATTGTACCATTTTACATTCGTTACGTTTCTCTGCTCAGTTGAGTGTTGTTTCAGATGAATCAGCAGTTCTTGAATTACCTAGGAACCTACATATAGATCTCTTAGCCCCACCCCAGATTTTGTGAATCAGAACTTCCAGGATGGATTCTGGGAATCTATTTTTTTGAAAACCTGTTAGTGCCTCCAATACTGAGTCTGCTAGCCAGTCTTCTCACTAGCTTTTGGGAGCCCAGCTGTGTTTTATGGACTCTGAGAGGAGGTAATAAACTCAAGAGCAGGTGCTTTATGTCTTCTTAGGCCAGCTTCTCCCCCAATCCCACATTAATTCAACAGTGTTCTGTTAAAAAATAGTATTCAGTAAGTCACTGTGGAATGAATGCCTGGATCTATCCACATTTCCAACTTGCCTTTGTAACTTGAGTATCAACCAGTATTTATAATTACATTTCAACCTAGCTCATGCTCTGACAGAGGCAGGAAGTGAGTCTTAGTTGCCCAGCTCACCCTGGTGGAGCTGCCTTGCGGTCCTTTCTGTTCAGAAATTTGAGAATGTCTTTCTCAGGTCAGACCAGACAGCCCTGGGGTAATGTCAGCCATGATCAGACTTCGATTCTAACCTGCTGTACCTCCCCCTTGGACCTGTACTGGGATACGTGTGCTTTGGCTGTCCTCTACCTCAGGGTGCCTACCTGGTCTCCAGAGCATCCCCAAGCAGGGGGCAAGGCCTGATCACTTGTCTGGGAGTCTGCCTGGTCTGCTCAAGCTGCCACGGAGGGTATGCCTAGATTAGATTCCTTCTGGGGCTGGTGGCCTTGCCCTAGGAAATAACATTTGCAGAAGTTTAATCCTTGGCAGACTCAAAGCTAGCTTCCAGGTTGTGAGGACTCATTTATTCAGGCGCAAAAAGGTCATCTTGGTTAACCTGTTTCTTAAATACCCATGGGGTGCTTTGGGTGGCTGACTGGTATCCTTTTTCATTATGTTGGTGTTTTTCTGTATTCTTGGTAGAAGGTGTCAGGGCAGAATCCAGAAAGGAGCAGTGTCACCCAGGGATGCCTGAGAGGCACTTGTAACCCCAGCACACTGTCTGCACCTGAGAGTTTTGCCTCTGGATAAGCCATGAATTTCATTTTGATGCCAGATGTGAGAAGCTGTTAGTAATCAGGATGACTGGCCTGGGAAGTCCGGTTCCCAGGTGGTAGTGCTTCCTCTGGAGGATTTGTCTGGGAGGCACCAGGGCTGCGAGTTAGTGACAAAGGGAATGAATTGACCCTAGACATGCAAGAGTGAGAGCTTCCTAATGAGACCTGACAGTTCAAGGGCAGAAGGAGCCTAATCTTTTTCTCCCTGCCCACCCAGTCTTCATACAAATGTAAATATGCCTCCTTCAACAAATTGTCAAATGTGGTTTTAATTTGTGTGAGCCCGCCTTGCCTCTTTTCTTTCTTCTTTCTCTTTCCCTTTTTTTTTTTTTTTTTTTTTTTTTTTGCAAAGGAAGATACAGGTTTTACACTTTTGGAACTGGACATTTCCGTCTGTCACTCCCTCACTTTTTCTGTTGTCCTTTTTCTTTCAAGGACGTTTCCCCCATTGTTTGTCATCTGAGGATTTTGGGACGAGAGGGGATCTTCCTGTTTCTTTAAGAAGTTTTTGAAGTTCCCATAGGAAATACATAGTGCTTTTCAAACTAAGTTTTACAATAAATACATGTGAGTGTGATTGAAGCCAGTGTGAGGCTCGAAGTGTCACGATCACGCATCCAACTCTCTGTGCTCACCGCAGTATCCATTGTTGTTATTTATGACCCTGTCTGCCTTCCATTGTGGACTTCTTCCAGCCTTGGGGAATTTACATCATTCCTAATAGCAAAAGGCTTTCTGGTTCCCACAGAGTTGTTCAAAGCCTGACTCATGCTCCTTATGTTAATTGTTCAGCTCTGAAAATACAGCACTTACAGGGTGTGGTTGTAAGGGGGAAATCTACTGTACTTACAGGGCATGTTTAGAAGTGTTTCACACATAAATCTCAATCTCTCTCATTTAACTTTCAAACTGTAGTTCTTTTTGGTCAACTAGTCAGTCCTAGGAGGGGGGAGAGGGAGAAGTATTAAAATGCAGTATAATCCAAAAAGATCTGTAATAATTTGTTCACTAACTCTTTCAACTGATGTAAGTTGTCTTGGATATGACTTTGGGCCTGAGACCATAGGCAGGGCAGTGATGGGATGTGGGACACCCAGGCATTCCACCAATGGCTCTCCCAGGCTCCATGGGGCTGTCATGGTTAATTCTAGTGTAAGTCTAAAGCCAGGACCTCATGATAATTTACCAAAACTGTTCCTGTGGCAGCAACATTTTATTGTGGAATTTGATGGAGAAGGGTACGTGGTGTCCCAGAAAATGAGAGAGGTTAATGCTTTGTCTGAATAATCTATTTGCTAACAAAAAGAAAACGATTCCAAAGTAGGAAACAAGTCCACATTGGTGAAGGTTGGGAGTTTTTCACACTTTATAATTGCTTCTTGATGCTTCTAGGGGAACATATAAGGATAGGTAGACAGATACTCGATACTCTATAAATTATATAATGCCATAGTGATGCTGTTCATTTAAGAAAAAAACAAAACAAAAAACTCCCAGTTTTTTTAGTAGCCAAGATTCTCAAACTCTAGTTTTTAAAGGACCGGTGTTAGAAGGCTTACCTTGTGATGCATTCTTGAGTATTTGCAAAGGCCATATTCTGTATTTTCATAGCAAAAGGAAATGTGGGGAGTTCTTGGTATAATCAGGTTCAGACCTCTGCACCACCAGGTCTCCCTGGAAGATCAGGGCGACAAACATGCTGCTGCCTGGCATTGTGGCTCTGGGCATCAGCATGGTTTGGGCTCAAAGATTCCGTGTATTGGCCAAGGATCCCCAGATGGTTTAGAATCAACATTCTTTCCATCACAGTCTTGTAAGTTTGTGGTGCCTATTAATGTATGAAGTGTGCATGCTGAGAGCCCAAAAGAAGTGACAACTTACCAAAAAGTTCTAGATTTTAAAAAATTCAAATAGCCTCACACTAAGCAGTTTTATATAGTCCTCACAAAAACAAGTGTGTTCACTGGGAGGCTGAGAGCGTAATGGCTTTTTCTCATGTTCAGCTATTAGATTTCTGTTGGAACTTTTGTTATCTTTTGGAATAGACGGGAAGAGCTCTCCATGGAGTGTCTGGTTATTTTGCTGAGTGTGCAGAGGGTCCACTTCCTCCCAGTGCAAAGCGCAAGAGAAGAGCTCTGAAAGAAATGTGAGTCCACTGTGTTTCCTTTTCCTCATGTTTGACTGTCCATGTGTGTGAACACATGACATGGAATGGAGAGTCCAACAAGAGTACATGGGACTTAATCACAGACCCTGGCACCAAGCCTACCTTAAGTCACATACTTGTTCTTCCACCTTCCTGACTCCCTTTCTCCTGCTTTCTGGACAACAGGAACTGAAGCCTTGCTTCACAGGTGTGTTGCAAGGACTAATTAATTACAAGCGCTTTGAAGATGAAAAGCACCTGTTGGTGGTGTGTTTCATTCAGCTTTCAGAGTGACTACAGACAGATCTAAAAAAAATGCATTCCTTTTCTAAGATGCTTGTTCCGACCCTAACGTAATTATCATAATCCTCCTGCCCCAGAAAGCAACAGTATGAACATGAATCTATATATTTCTCTCCAGACTAAAGCTTAGCCAAAATAAATATTTTAGCTTCAGTGTTTTGAGTTCGGTGGTTTAAACAATTTCTTGCCATTCACAGGCCTGCAAATATATGTTGAAGTCAGTCTCTAGTTTCTAAATTCTTCCCATGAAGCTTTTATTCTCTCCCTCAAAGTAATTTTCAACCTGTGAGATTCACATTGTCTGCTGTCGAAAAGGTGTATGCCTCTGTGTGTGTGTGTGTGCGTGTGTGTGTGTACGTGTACACTCTCTTTTGTCTGCTTTGTTTCCATTCTCTATTCTTCCATACTCTCTGGAATTTCTTCCAGTACATTTCAAGGTTTATTACCTGAATCCTGTTTCCAATGGTTAATGAACAAGCCTTGACACCAGCTAAATGGTGCTTATATTTGAGTAATACCTTGAAATGGCCTGAGAGAAATTCCAGAAGATTATTTTACTTACAAAGAGAAATCGTGTGTGTCTATACGTGTATAAGCATGTTTTTGTGCACATACACATAGAGTCATACATAAACACAATCTCTGCTTTGGATGTATATGAGCATTTACTTTGGGGGAGGGAGATCACTGTATCAAATTGATCCGTAATATCTGAAATGAATACCTATCTGCCTTCGTTAAAATATGAACTCTATCAATAACCCAGTGACCATTAAATAAAGTGTTCCCTAGTGTGTCCCAGTGTATTGGAAAAGATGAGGCTATTGCTTGTTCCAGTCTGCAGTCAAACATTCGCTTGGGGATTCTTTTAGATTTGCCGGGAGATAGGGAGAAGGGGGCAGTGCATGCCTGCCTTTTTCAGGCATAGGAAATGTAGTTGGGGAATTTGGAGGAAACCATGCCATTACAGCATTACAAAACAAAGTTTTTTTTTTTTTTTTTTTTTTTTTTTTTTTTTTTAGCATGAAAAGAGCTGAAACAAAAAGCAGCATCATGAGCAAATCACAGGGCAGCAGGGACATTGTGGGAACATCAAGTGACTCAGTGGTTGCAGAGATGGCAGTGAGAAGAGGTGACAGCCAGGCTTCCTCCAGTGCCTCTCCGGAGTCCTCGGGGCAAGCAAAGGATTGCACACAGGCAGCTGAGAGCCACTGGGGGCTCTCTGTTCAAAAGCTGGAACATGTTCCTCAGACCCAGCCAGAGGACACCGGCAGCCAGCACAAACCTCATCCTGGGGCGTGGTTACAGACAGGGCTTCGAAGTGGGAGCGCTGTCTGGAGCTGTGAGTCAGCAGCACCGGGTCCAAAACAAAGTCCACGAGGGGCCCGAGCACAGCAGAAACGCAGGCCCCGCGGCTCTGCGCAGGGCTCCGTCCACAGCAAGAGAGTTTCTCTTGGAAGTGATCGATTCCTCCCGCGAGAAATGAGAGCGGGAACAAGCCAGGCTGTCGGGGTTTTGCCAACATCAGAGCTGTCAGATCCGGGGTTACTTTTGAAAGAGGATTTGGCAAAAGCCATGTCTAATGAAGAGTTGCATGTTTTGGAAAATCTCTCCTCCAGACATCTTATGAAAAGTGAGCCAGGGAAGGCCGACCAAACCGGCTCAACCACCAACACTGAAAGATTAGCTACAATCCAGGGCAGCCCAGGCAAAAAAAGGAAGAAGTCCGAAAGAGGCCACTGACTTACTAAAGAGGATTGCACAGTTGTGGTTGAGGGATATAGTGGCCAAACCTGCGAAAAATGAGAAGTATGTGTAGATGCTGTGATTTCAAAGGAATTAGAATGACTTTTTAAAAAGGAAAAATGTATCTTTTTGTTGGGGTTAGCTTTCAAAGAAGTCCCTTCCAGGAGCCTATCTGCTTGTTCTAACAACATGGCTGCCTTCCCATCAAACTGTGTAACTGCCTTCAGAAAACTATTTTAATGATAAACATCCATTCACTGTCAGAGACGACCCCACTCCTGAAGAACTCCACAGAGCCCAGCCGGTGTGGCTCAGTGGTTGAGCATCAACCTATCACAGTTCATTTCCCAGTCAGGGCACAACCCGGGGTTGCCAGCTCAATGCTCACTAGGGGGCGTGCAGGACGCAGCTGATCAATGATTCTCTGTCATCATTGATGTTTCTATTCCTCTCTCCCTCTACCTTCCTCTCTGAAATCAATAAAAATATTTAAAGAAAAAAAGAATGGCATGTTGGTACTGGGTGCAGTGTATCCTTCTGCTCCTTGGTTGAGTAGAGGGGTCGGGCAGGAGCAGGCTCGTGGTTCTCAGCAGCTAGTCCCGTACCAGCATCATTGTCGGAAAATGTGTTAGAAACACAGAGCTTGGGCCCCACCCCAGACCTTCTGAGGGATTCTGAAACATGCTCCAGACCCACCATGCTAATTGGAGACTCCCTCCTGCTCACCCACTGGACCACATGCGGACACGTACACACTTGTAAAGCACTTGAACTCAGTGCATGAGTCACTGTTCCTAGGTGTTATGGCTGCCACAGCACCTAGACCACTGTTACCCTAAGAATCTCAAGACCTTTCACAGGTAATTTGGCCCAGCGCTAGAAGACACGGGCAGAGCCTTGTTCTTGCTTGTAGCTCAGGCCCATCCTTGCCCTTACCTCTAAGATTTTGGTTAGGTGCAGGATGGACTAGAACCCACAGGGAACTCCATGGCCAGGGTTTCCTGTTTCCTGTTTGGAAGTCTTCACAGGCAGTTTAAATTTCAAAACAGGAGTCTTTGATTTGCAGTCGTACCCACTAATATCTACATTGGGCTGGCTGAAAAGTTACGTAATGACTCATAGCCACAACTTAACTTTGGATGGACACCTACTCAATATTTTCTTCACTGAATTCATTATAAAGTAGGGAAGAAATCATCTTCAAAGCACCCATCAACTACATCTTTTTTTCAGTTCAACATTGGGTGGTCCTTTGAAGTAGCCCCTCTCCAGTAACAAGCAGAATCAGTATCTTCCCAGAAGTGTTGGAATTAGCAGAAAAAGCCCAACAAAACGTAAGAATATGGAAACAGACCACGTAAGTCCATGTCTAAGACTAATCAGTGGTTTCTCTCGGTTCATTCTATCCTCCCCATGTCTCCTTGCCCTCTTGTATAGGAGGGGAAGACTCACTAAGCAGCAACCATGTTGGGTCATGAAGTTTAGTCATGGTCACCACACCTGTCTATGGATATAGATGCTCTTCCTTTGATGTTCCAAACCCTGGAAACCTGTCCCCTTCCTGTGGTCCCATCCTCACCACCCCCACTAGGAGCATGGCTCTGCCCACTGGTATCTTTTCCTCTTCCCTCCTAGTTTATTTCCTCCCCCCAGTTCATTCCAACGAAAGGATTCTATAGGAGAAGAGGAAGCCCAACAGAATGTGGACCCCAGTAAGCAGATTCTGCTCATCAACAGGGGTACGCTGCACAGAATGCACAACTGAGCACATGGTAGAGCGTGGGTTTCTGTGGCCATTGTGGGCCTCTCGCAGAGTGGCCAGGAAGCTAGGCCTGGTCTTCATTGAAGACAGAACCGCCAGAACCAGTTTGGCTCAGTGGATAGAGCGTCGGCCTGCAGACTGAAAGGTCCCGGGCTCGATTCCGGGCAAGGGCACGTACCTTGGTTGCGGGCACATCCCCAGTGTGCAAGAGGCAGCTGATCGATGATTATCTCTCATCAATGTTTCTAACTCTCTATCCCTCTCTCTTCCTCTCTGTGAAAAATCAATAAAATATATATTTAAAAAAAAAAAAAAAAGACAGAACCACAGTGTTATTGAGGGTTCTTAAACAGAAACAAGTTTTGGGACAGTTTCATCAAAGGGGTCACCAATGACCAGGCGATAAGCCAGGAAACAGTAAGCTCCCTGGAACAGTCTAGAATAAAGACAGCCATTGCCGAACTAGAACTAGGAGATGTTTGAACCCAAAGCACCAGAAAAAGTTTGTATTGAGAAGTTTTTATTTCATTAGTTAATCCGGGCCTGATGATTAAAGTCCATTCTCATACTTTTAATGGTTTTCTTTCAAGTCTTGGCTTTGGAGTTTGGTGTATTTGTGTGAATAACAGGTACTGTGATGCAAAAGGGAAATGGCACCATTGGTGGCAGGTGGACATGGTCTTTCTCACTGCCATCGTGCACACGGGGTTTTAACAGGATTAGAGGGCCCTGCCGCCTCCGCTTCCGCACCTCAGCATGTGTTTGGGGAGTTCTGCCCCTGAACATTTTTCTTCTCCATGTCTGAAAGCCCCCTGGGGCTCCTGTTACTAGAATGGCCATGTGATTCTTTGGATATTTGGAAGTACAAAAGGGAAAATGGCTGCCAGGTATTCTTGTTGCATATTAGGTGGGAAATGAAGAGTTCTCTATTGCTAGGAGTGGTGTGTGTTTTGATATTTGTAATAATCTTAGTAATTCAGCCACTGAAAATCTGAGACCCTATCAGTATACTTAGTCAAAAAGTGGTCTTCAACCACTTACATAATAACCCAGATTAAATGTGTGTCTGTGTGTGTGTGTGTGTGTATCCTATCTAATAAAGAGGGAATATGCTAATTGATCATCACTCCATCACAAGTATGGCTGCACCCACAGCTGAGGCCTTAATGTCCAATCAGCAGGGACCTGAGGCTGCACCCTCCCCTGGCCCTATGGGGCTTGACAGGGGACCTGAAGGTGCAGGGCTAAGGGACCTCAGGCTGCTCCCCCTGCCCCAGTACCAGGCCGGGGAACCTCAGGCCACACCCCCACCAGGTGGGGCTTGATAGGGGATTTCAGGCCGTGCCCCCCCACCCTGGCACCAGACTGGGGGACATTAGACCGCACTCCCTGCCCAGCAGAGCTTGACAGGAGGCCTCAGGCCACACCCCCCTGCCTAGCTGGACTTGACGGGGAAACTCAGGCTGCACTCCCACCTAGCAGGGCTTAACAGGGGATCTGAGGTTACACCCCCTTCCCTGTGCTGGGCTGGGGGACCTGGGCTGTGCCCCCTCACCTGCCTGGCAGGGCTTGATGGGGGACCTCAGGCCATATCCCCCATCCAGCGGGGCTTGACGGGATCTCAGGCCGTGTTCCCCAACCCAGTCTTTGATGCCCCAGTCTGACTGGGGGACCTCAAGCCATGCCCCACATCTTGGTGCCAGGCTAGGGGACTTGAGGCTATGTCCCCTGCCCAGCAAAGCTTGACAAGGGTGGGACTGGCCAGGTCTGGATCTAGCCCAATTTGGGGTGGGGGATGCTGCTGGGTCTGGGCTCACAGGATTTTGAGGTGCATGTGGGTAGGCAGGGACTTGACTCTGGGTTCCATGGTAAGCCCCAGACTCTGACAGGAGGAAGGTTTTCATATACATTTTATGAATTTTCTTTCATCTTGGATACTTCTATTATAGAGAAAGGGCAAATAGCAATATTAAAATTATTTCCTCTAATTAATCCCCTTTTAATGTGCATGAATTTTGTGCACTGGGTCACTAGTGTGTGTGCGTGTGTGTGTGAATATGTTCAAGTTCCCGTAGTAACTCTGATGCTTAGAAGAAACATGGAACCAATTTGATTAATGTTATGACTTTGAACTCCTTAACTTTCTCAGTGTCGTGACTTCTAGGTCACCTCCATGTGCTTTCGAATAACTTTTTAACAGATTGGTGTCAGGTATTGCTTTGTTTTGTTACATTGTGGTCCTGTGTTTTTATGTCCATAAACAAGAAATGTCAGAATAGCCTGTGATATTTCTTAACACATTTTTTTCTTTTCTTTGCCACTGGGGGATTAACTGTCCACCAGAGATGCATATAAATTGTTAAATGCCAATGAGCAAATGTTGGGGGAGAGAGTGCTGAAGCTTTTTTTGTTCTTATTTTTACTACAAAAAAGTAGGAAGATGTTTCTCATTTTATAAAAAGCAAGAGTCACAGAACCCCTCTATGTTTTGATTTATGGAGAATATAGTGTCTCTGCACGAGGTATCGCAAGATATATTTTGGGGACAACAAAGTAATTGTTTGCTTGTGGTGCAATGTGTGGATTTTAGCGTGAATTGCTGTGCACTTGGTGGTCTTTGATTCAGAAAGAACTTGCTGAGGGCAGAGCAGGAAGGGAAGGAAACTCTGCCCAGGAGAATGGCCTGGGCCCACACTGTCGCCACTGTTTCCTTGCTTTCCTTCTTGGCAGGCCCCACTGTAGTATTTCCACAAAATTCTCGTGACACGCCCTCCTTTTGAGGTAACAAGTGGCTTTCCTAAGAACTAGTAATTCTCTGCTCAGCAATGCTATGACTTGAATATGGAAGTCACTTCTATTTCTCTTATGAGGAAATGTCCATGCTTGGTCTGTTAAGATGAGATAATTCATTTCTTGTTACTGAAACACTAATGAATTGAACCACATTGGCGCAAGGAAAAAAAAATTAAAATTAAGCTTTCTCTATTAAATGGTTTAAAGCCTTGCATGGTACAAAATAAATTAAGCATTGTGACATGAAGTTAATCCAGTTTAATTATTCAGAATAGAAATCTAACCATATATGTTATTGGAATTACAATTTAATGATATAATTAAAATTCTCAGAAATCTGCTGAATCTTCTCATTTGGGGTTTTGTATTTATTCGACAAGACAAGGAACACATATATGTCTATGTGTAACTTGACAGAGGAGACTTGAGTGGGTGAAATTATTACTTTTAATTGTGGAGAACTACTCAGTACTGGGCTTGAATTTAATTACATTTAAATAAGTTTCATTATGTGCAGCATGATATCACCATGTGCTACCTTATAATTGCCATT